TTTTATTTTTCTTTTTCATTATTTTCAAAAAAAATATTTTTATTGATTTCAGAGAGAAAGGGAGAGGGAGAGAAACAGAAACATCAATGATGAATTTTTGATTGGCTGCCTCCTGCACGCCCCCTACTGGGGACCAAGCCCAAAACCTGGGCATGTGCCCTATCCTGGAATCAAACCCTGACCTCCTGGTTCATAGGTCGACACTCAACCACTGAGCCACTGCTTTTAGGCCAGTTGTATGCAAAACGCTGCCTGGTATCCTTGGAGCTGTGGCTTCCCTTTACAGACTGATGCTTGCAGGGGGTGGGGCGGTGGGCGTGGTAGGGGGTGGGAGTGGGGCTGGTGAGGGCAGTGGGGGGTGGGGCGGTGGGCGTGGTAGGGGGTGGGAGTGGGGCTGGTGAGGGCAGTGGGGGGTGGGGCGGTGGGCATGGTAGGGGGTGGGAGTGGGGCTGGTGAGGGCAGTAGGGGGTGCGGGCGGTGGGGGTTTGGAGGGATGGTGGGGTTGCGGGGAGGGAGTCTGGGCGGAGCCTTGCTTGTTCCCCTGTAGCCCCCTGCCCAGCTCTGTGTTTGCAGATGGTAGAAGCAAGGAATGCTGTGGGAGGGAGGCAGGAGGAGGGCATGGATCTCCTTTCTGACTGTTCCCCGTCTCCCAGCTGGTGCCCCTGGGTGAGCTGATCAAGCACAGCACCTCGGCTGTGGATCTGTCCACCTGCTTCGCCCAGATCGGCCACACTGCCCAGCAGCTGGACTGGCCCGACCCAGAGGAGGCCTTCATGATCACGGTCAAGTTCGTGGAGGTGCGGCATCTTCCCCGCGGCCTTCCCGCCTTCTAAGGCAGCTCATTCCCGCCCACCCTGGTTCTCCAGGGCCTGCATCCCCAGTCCTCGAGATTCCTGTGCCTTCGCCACCTGCCCCTCCTGGGTGCCCCCCATTGACCACCCCCTCCTCACCCCAGGACACCTGTCGGCTGGCCCTGGTGTACTGCAGCCTGATAAAGGCCCGGGCTCGTGAGCTCGCTGCAGGCCAGAAGGACCAGGGCCTGGCAGCCAACATGGTAAGGACCAGAGCTGGGGGTTGGGCTGGGATGGGGTAGAGACTGCCCGCCTGCCCCTCTTCAGGAAGCTCTGCATCCCTGTGCCCTGCCTGCCCGCAGCTGTGCGTGGTGGTGAATGACATGGAGCAGCTGCGGCTGGTGATTGGCAGGCTACCTACCCAGCTGGCATGGGAGGCGCTGGAGCAGCGGGTAGGGGCTGTGCTGGAGCAGGAGCAGCTGCAGAACACGCTGCACGCCCAGCTGCAGAGCGCGCTGGCGGGGCTCAGCCACGAGATCCGCACAGGCGTCCGCACCCTGGCCGAGCAGGTACCTTGTCCGACCCACGGTGACCCTGGCCCACCCATCCTCAGCCTAGAGCCTCCCCCGCAGCAGGCTGATGTCCAGCCCCCACTTCCTGAACCTAAACTCGGGCCCTGGCCTCCCCCTGCTGTTCTGTGTCTGCAGCTGGAGGCGGGCATTGCCAAGCACATCCACAACCTGGTGGGCGTCAGGGAGTCCGTGCTGCCAGAGGATGTGAGTGGCCTCCCTCTCGCTGACCTTTGCCAGCTCTATGGGTCTAGGTTTGCGAAGAACAGGTTGGGCAGGAGGCTGGATGTCATGGGTGTCCGAGAGAAGTCCCCCAGGCCAGCCGTGGGCAAGGACTGTCCCCTCCTGGGCCTCCTTGGGTGCTGAGGGGGCGGGGCTGGGACATTCCCGAGCTCTCCTAGCGCGGTGAGTGTAGGCGGCCATGGGGCAGGGTTGGAACTTCGCCGCCAAACAGACCTGGCGCCCCCTTCTCGGCTGCCTCCCCGCACAGCTGCCCTGTTCCCACAGCCCGCTGGCCTGTCTCCTCATCTGCCAGCAGGGATAGTAAGGCTCACCTTCGATGGCTGGGAGGTTCCTCACGAATCCATCATTATTCAGGCACCCACTTGTCCAGGCAGTGCCTAGGTACGGGGACATGGGGCAGTGAGCGCCGTGACAAAAGCCCTGCCTTCCTGGAGCTTACATTCTGCTGGGGGCGGTGAAAGTAGGACCAAGTATGTCTGTAACTAGAGCTGTTGCCGTGACTAAATATACTGTATGTGTGTGTGAGTATGTGAATATGGACACACACACACACACACACACACACACACGGTG